TATATATAGTTTTTGAAATGAGTTTCAAAGAGGTCCTATCATATGTATGGTTTACTTTCAGTCAGACAAGCAAACATTGAATATTTTGCAAGACATATGTTCAGTTCATATCAGTTTCAAGTGACGCAAAAAAGTATAAACATACTGTAAACTTTAATCATTCATGTGTTAATCAAATGTTTTACATGTTCTCTCTGGGTTGTTTGGTTAAAACGATCATAATCCATCTGCCAAAACATCATGTCCCTGAGTGAGTCAGGAGCTGATGATGACCTGCTTGATCCAGTCAGTGAGTCTGGTGATGCGAGTGTAGACGCCGTAGTAGTCTGGTCGGCCACAGCCTTTGCCCCAGCTCACCACCCCGGCCAGGAACCARCGTCCTGATGGCTCCTGGCAAACCAACGGACCACCGGAGTCTCCCTGACAGAGACAAGCAAAGCTCAGATTCAATGGTTAAATTTCAGCACCTTAACAAGACAACATATGTGTTAGTATTTAGCAGATTTACAATTATTATCAGTGGCTCATGATGTCACTCAGTGCTTAAATGTTTCGCTTTTACATCACATTTATTGGCTCGTACATAAATTCTACCAGGCACACAGCTGGTTTTGGAAACATTTTGAATTTTTTACACCTTATTATTAAAATATTACTGAAACTCAAACTAAAGTTATAAAACAATTATGTTTGTAAGCTTTACAGAGTGAGATTTCTTTTAAAGAAGAGGAAAAAAGCAGCCAGCCATAACATTATGACCAACCACGTAACACTGAATAGGTTCTTCCGGAAAAGTGGAAGCTTCTTGTCAAAAAWGATGCAGCAGGATTTGTTCTGACACACGTAATACTTGATTCATTAGAGAAAAACAATGGAATGAAGACCTTGTCTTGCTGTTTGGTAAAGTTTTTCTGTACCTGACAGGCATCTTTCTCTCCAATCCGATAACCAGCGCAAAGCATTCTAGGAGTGACCAGGTGACCATAGGAACGAACACAGTCTTCCTCGCTGACCAGGCGAACGTCCACTTTTTGAAGCACGTTACTGGCAGTGCCTGCACAGACAAACAGTATTTATTAGTGCAGAGTTTTTCAAAATGGGGGGGCACAGTCCTAAATGGCATTAGCTTCTGACCAGGGACCCCTCACCCCTTGCAAACCCACAAACAATGTTACAAAATAGGTAAAGAAACATCAACATTCAGAATGTTTTTTCTCACTTTTCAATCATTTTTAACATTTGTTTAAAATACACATTTTATCAACTAGCATGCCTTTAACACTGTTATATTCCCAATGTCCTTAGGACTACAGATGAGAACTAGCCTCCATGGCTAATTCTGGCATTTTCTGTAATATGCATTGTCCCTTCTTAAATAAATAAACAACACACACACAACAACACAATGAAAAAACAACAACTTTGCATTAGACTGTCGACAGTAAGAGCAGGAAAAAAAGAAATCAAACTTTTTTTAAAGCATAGGTGTAATTTGTGTGTGTGTGTGTGTGTGTGTGTGTGTGTGTGTGTGTGTGTGTGTG